GTACCTATTTTTCGTATCATCGTACAAAAGGATGCATGCGACACGGGCTTACGACATAACAAAAGCAAGTTTAGGAGGATGGTCGGAATAATCTACATTTCAAATGGCTTCAAAATTGGCGATTGCTTGGATTCATAACTTTACTACTTAAAAGGGGAAGTTTCCATTCTCAGTCTGTTATTCTGAAGCAAAGCAGAATTAACATAAAACAATGTAATGCGCGTTTTCTTATAAAGCCAGGCAAAAATGATCTATTAGAAACTTACCGTTAAATAAAAAATATTAGAAGCACTAAATAGCAAACTGATAAAGAAAAACAGTTCGATTATGTTGTTTAGCTGTATCATGTTGGCAAATAGTCATAAAGGAGCTGTGCCAAAGATAAAGAAGAAGAAGATTGACGAATCAAATCTCCCGCCTGAATAGCTCGGGTATATCCGGATTCCGGTCAGCAGGCTTGCCAGGTCTACCGTTAAAATGTTACATTAAATACTTTCAATATAATTTGTGAGTCTTTTTGGGAATTTCTCTAAGACGTAAGTAAATAGTGACTCCAATAAATTCGAAAAGACCAAAAAAAGTCACATTTCGACAATTTCAGTCTATTCTCTAGTAAGATCCCCGACTCAAACTTTTCCGAATGCTAAAATCTGAGAGTGGATTTATTTGAATAAATAAGGGTAAACCAATCGAGGTCGTTATTATTAGCGAATAAAAAATAAAGTTTCGACAAAGTAGTAAAACTCGGATATTTTATTTTATCCAAATTAAGTTATTTAAATCAAATATTTTGATCAAATCAAATATCTTGTTTGTTCTTCGTTCAAAAGTACTTTTGAAAACTAATTGACATTAATCTATCTACCGTTTTATATTTAAATATACCGTTTTTTCTCTATCCATTCTACCGCTTTCGAAGTTCTTGGTCTGGCAACGCTGCCGGTCAGTGTCAACCCTTCGAACTGAAATTTGATGGTTGGTGGTCAGTTTAGGTCCATTTCAAACAAGTGTGTGCCTTTTGGGTTGTACAGTTACAAGCAGGTTGCTGAAATAATTCGACCGCAAATTATCTAATGTGTTTTGGATGTTGAGTGAGATCGGTAGTGGCAAGTTGTGCTAATTCAGACTTTAGTGTGCTTACCGTCGTTGGCCGGCCATCAAGCAGTGAATAACATCTTTCTTCGACTGCTCTGTATGTATTTAGAAATTTGCTGTTATCCTGCCATATACTCCTGAGCGAATAACAGACAATCCTCAAGTAAATCGTTTCGAACAGGTAGACACAATTTGTTATAAATAATATGGGTCGTTTCACCTAAAAAACTATGTAGTCGCGACCCGTGTTTAACCTCGTGGAAATGCCTTTAAATGGCTAATACCGTTCAAACACGATACCAATAAACGTTATTCTCATTCCACCGCTGTGCTAGTGAAACAAAAAGGGCTATTTAACGTGGTTAGTACTCGTCTTTAAAGGGAAATTATTGTTTTGTCAACAATTTTCTTTTCAATGAAACAGATTTATCTGACAGATGAGGCAGCGCCACCTACGTTATTGACTTTGCTCATTTCTCGTGTCGTGTAATAAATAAGTGTCAATGGCAAGCCCGAGCAATCCGGATAAATGGTATTTTACCAAGGAATATCTCGAAAATACCCCATCCAGAGAAAGCGGCTTCGACGCTTATAAGGAGCTGCAATACAGGCAGCAGGCCGCAAACTTTATACAGGACATGGGCCAAAAATTACAAGTGTATCCTTTTCACACAGTGAATTTGCGACTCAGCGAAAAGCACCCTCTAATCCAATTTCTCTTAAACAATTTGCTCCAGAGCTCGGACGTAGGTAATTCGGAATAAGGTAGATTTATGCAGGTTCAATTTTTAGATAGTTGCGCAATTTTTTCAATGACAGCACATGCTCCCGAGACCTTTTCATTTCACATTGATTTCTAGTTTTAACCTTGACCCACAAACAGAAAGTACGCCTGGAATGCACACGGCAACGTTTTTCTTTCATTTTCAGGTTTGCTTTTTTCGCGGCGAATCCTTGATTTGTTTTAGGTGGTCAGACTCATAAAATACTGCCTAATAAGTAACTACTAAAAACGCATTTCGAAAATGTGCCAGTACAACATGAAACAAAAAATGTATTTGTTTAAAGCAACAGTGAAAATAAATAGTTCCTTAATCGCTTTAAACATGATTTTATTCAACTTTCTTTTTTTTTTCTCAATTTACTTTGTTCTTTATAAGTCGACTAGTCTCCAGCTTAGTCATAGAATTCGCTTGAAATGCGAACCAACCCAAGCAAGGGCTACATGTTAAATTTAGACCCATTGCTGTAAAGTATTGAAAAACCTCTACTCACATAAGTAATGCCATACAGCAAGGTAAATGTCCCGATTACATGCCTTGCAACTTCGAATTAAATTGAATACCTTCGAACCTTGCATTGTGAAGGACCTTTAATATTCAGGTACAAACCTGTAAATTTCTTCTCAGATGCAAACAAAGAAACCTTTTACTTATTTTTTCGATTTTCACAAGTGGCTCAAAAGCCTGCCTATCACATTGAACGTTTCCCATGAATCCCATTGTCCGAAGTTGCTAAATATTTCTAAAAGCCTCAATGTGTGGTCGTAGATAGTTTATTATTTCTCAGTTCTTAAGTTCCTACCTGTTTTAATGCAATGTGACTATAAGATCGAGTTTTTCTTGGAATCACATTATTTTGCAGGAAATAGTTCAAATAATAAACTTTTCAGAAATGCCTTTCAAAGGTTTGTTTTCAGAAACTAAAATGTGACTAACAACAACAAAGCTCTTTAAATTATGACTTTAAACTAAATGCTTTCCAAATTAGTTCGCGTGTTGAAAAGTAGCTTCATAAAGGCGAATGAGCGCTTTTTTTAGTCGCAAATCTAAATGTTCATTCTATGCTTTCGCTTATCATTATATCGATATGAACATTGTATGTATTTGGAATTTGTTGAATTAACGTAAATTATCTCTCTCTCTCCAATGCATGGGGGTTCTTATGGCAAGAGCCGTGTTATTTATTCACAGATTTTAAAAGATTACGAAAACATTTTGCTATCTTAAAATATAATATCAGTCACCGGTCATATTTAAATCAAAATTAATTTAGTACGGGATATTTTGAAACAAAAAGTTAAGTTTGAGTGTGGTCTGAAAGTTAAATCCCTTTTTAATTCTACAGCGAAATCAGCCATTTCGGACTCTTAACGTATTAAAAATAAAAACGCTTGAACACGTAAATTTTTATTGCGACGGGTTTTTTAGAATATAATCCAATCTTTTATCTCTTGGTCATGGTGGGGCGCCCAAAAAAATGTATTTTGTAGTTTGCGAAAAAGATTGGTGACTGGAACAATTGAAGGCTTCTGGTTTGTTTCATATTTAAGAACATTTCTGTATATAACATTTACTAGACATTTTCTTTCTCCATCAGGATTTAAAGCAGAACAGATTACATGGTTTTGAGGTGAAAGCCGGATAATTAAACATAAAACTGTATATCTCTATGTTTAAATCTATGATAAAGATTACAGTGTTTATRCCTTCTTATGCTTTTTGTAGTTCATTTTCCTGAGGAGGTTACATAGACTGGAGCATCTATTTCTAGAAATAGTAACAATGAAAATATCCTTATGATGATGTCCTTATGAGACAGAAGAAATAATGAATGTAGCTGATAAACAAAATAAAATCAGATTTTTTTAAAATTTATTCGAATAAATAATACTTTTTGTTGGTGACATTATTGTTTTGGCACACTCATTACTTATGATTATAATCAAGTATTATTGTTCAAAAGTTGTTGGAAAAGAGAGTTGAACTCACCAATGTCATCTACTTAATAACCTAAGCCTTTTTGTTTTTTGCTTTCTGTTGTGTATGATTGCAAAAAATAAAAGAACGCTCCAAAGTACAGAAATACAAGGTTTACTTGTCACATCTTTAATCTTTTTCCCTTCAAGGGTGCTCTGTATAGCCGCGAAAAGGTTACCACACAGGAGAATCTGGTTTAAAAACATCAAAGATTTCTGCGAAAATTAGGCAAGAACACGGAAAGTCGAATATTGCAAAAGGAAACGTTTTAATGGCCTGTAATTCTGCTGAGTTTTAGTCAAAATTTATGTTCGATCTGTCTGTAGAATACAGGGTGTCCCGTAAGCTCATGATCAAAAGGGTACTGCGATATTCTTTGGACCAAAAGAAGACRATATGACCTAACTTTTATTAACAAAAAATGTCTGACTCCTCTGCTATGGATGGTCAAAGTTCTTCAAAAAAATTTATCGTTTTCGAAATATCGGGAGAATCGTAGGATGTATTTTAGTGAAACTCGCTGTGAATTTGTTCTTATGTAAGACTCATATTTTGATGAAACAATCGAGTTCAGCCGTTTTGGACAAGTGGTCAATTCTTGAGTGTCGTGGTACAAAAACTACCAGAACTTTTTTGTTGGTGGATGAAATCAACTCATTTTTTTTAGGTTGATGCACTAATTATTTGTTCACAATTTTGTGCTCTTTGTAAAATCTCGTAGGATTCATAGTTTTTGCGTAAAAAAATATGTCTGTTTTCTAGTCACTTAGCGATGCTAGACATTTACTGCAAATATGCGCCGGGTAAACGCGTAGGCGTTCACGCAAATTGTCTTCGCAAAACCCTAATACTTTGACCATGTCGTCACTTCTTCATTAGAGAAGGTCATTCAAAACGAATTTGTGAGATTGATTGACAATGGTTTTATGCCTCATGATATTTGCAGTTAATGTCTGACATTGTTAAGTGGTAAGGAAACAGAAATATTTTTTTTCGCAAAAACTATGAATGCTCCAAGATTTTACAAAGAGCACAAAATTGTGAATAAATGATTAGTGCATCAACCTAAAAAAAATGAGTTGATTTCATCCTCCAACTAAAATGTTCTGGTAGTTTTTGTACCACGACAATCAAGAATTCACCACTTGTCGAAAACGGCTGAACGGCTAAAATACATCGTACGATTCTCCCGATATTTCAAAAGAGAATTTTTTTCAAGAACTTTGACCATCAATAGCAGAGGAGCCAGACATTTTTCGTTAATAAAAGTTAGGTCAGATCGTCTTTTTTTGGTCCAAAGAATATCCGCGATCCGAATGCGTCCAATTCTTGGATAGTGTGTGCACATAACTGCGGTCTCTATCTAATTAGAGAATCATTATATAGTGGATAATATTTTTTTACATTAAAAACTGTTATGGAGGGTGCTTTTTAAATTTGTTATTTTTTTAAATTTGGCTATTATACATGTATGAACTGGTTCTAATCGAACCGAAAACAAGTTTTTCCTTAACCAAAGATTAGGTCCCAACTATGTATCAACACAGCGATAGTCTACATGCACCGGTTCTACGTGTTTCACTCATTCACCAAATTTCCATGGCATCAAATGGCGTCAGCAGCTCTTTTTCTGGCTGCTAAAGTTGAGGAGCAGCCCCGAAAGCTGGAGTACGTCATTCGTGTGACCAACCTCTGCAGGAATCCGCGAGACCGGACCGTTGACGTTACCTGTGAAAAGTGAGTGTTCTCCCGAAGAACACTTGTGAATTCGACTGAATTTAAATTACGTTAGGGATTCTCCTAGGTACATAGCTCAATCACAGGAGATGGTGTTCAATGAGAATGTGCTGCTGCAGACCCTCGGATTTGATGTTGCCATTGACCATCCCCATACCTACATAGTGAGATGTTGTCATTTGGTGCGAGCCAGCAAGGATTTAGCGCAAACGTCTTATTTCATGGCGAGTAACAGGTATGTTTACTCAAAAATTTGCCTTGTATGCGTGCTTACTTTAACTGTATGTAGATATACTCGGTTGAATCTACTCTTGAGACCTGCATATCACCACTAATGAGATGTTTTCTCTGCCTTTTAGCTTACACCTGACGACTATGTGCATTCAATACAAGCCCACGGTGGTGGCATGTTTCTGCATACTGCTAACGTGCAAGTGGTCGAACTGGGAAATACCACTTTCCAACGAGAAGAAAGAGTGGTTCAAGTATGTCGACCCAACTGTGACTGCGGAACTTCTAGAACAGCTTACTAGTGAATTTTTGGTAATTTTCGAAAATTGTCCTTCGAGACTAAAGGAGAAAATTATGGCAAAGCAGGAAAGTTCGAGCAGTACATTCGTAAGTATTTCTGTAAATGTTTCTGTTATACTATGAGCATAACGCTATAGATGGACGGGTAGCTTACTGAGCTATACTATTTCACTCGACAAATTTTTTTCCGACATTATATTTAACCATACACAACAACAATCAATTGATATCATCTTAAAATAATCTAGACGTTATTATCTACAACTTTTGCATTTAACATTTTTCTACTGACTAAATTTCAAAATAGATGTCAAAACGGGGTGGCCAAGTTCACTCAATAACACGGTACATGGTTTGATAAAATATTTATATTTTCAATATAATGTTTCTTAAAAAGCAAACTGCTCTCTGTCTTATTTTAATTTCCTTCCATTGTAATAACGAACAGATTCAAAAATAATCATTGATTTCTTTGTAGGAGCCGGAAAAGAAGCTGAATGATACTAGATCTTTGGAACACAAAAGTAATGTGCCAGATGTGATATTGGAAATCATATAACATTATGGTATTTTAGGTGAGGATCATCATAAACACAGATCGTCTCGACCAGCCGAAGCAGGAACAAGCGGCCACCGTAGTCAGGAGCAGCGAGAAAGAGAGTATAAGGAGCGAAAGGAAAAAGAACGAATTGCCCATATGAGTGGAATTGTGTTTAGCCTGCCTTATAGGCCTGACCGTCCCCCGGATGCCAGTAAACCCTATGCCAGGCCTCCGCCCACTGCGGCAACGTCCAGTAGAAACGAACCTAGAGAAGTTTTGAGGGAAACAGTCAAAGAATTGGCCGCGGTAGCCTCAACGGTTCGGGAACATGGCAAGGATGTTTACGCGTCTCGTGGGGATAAAGAAGTACAGAAACGCGATTCTTTACTAAAATCCTCTGCGCAGAGTGATCCAAGCAGTTCATCAAGTTACGCAGATGCGCGGATGCAGCAACGTGTTGAGCCTAGTAGACCTAGGAATGAGCCGCCAAAAGCTTCTTCGAAGGTAGACATGCCGCGTCGCCATGAGGATCAGAAAGTGTCTAGCCATGCCAAACAGGAAGCGGAGAATATTAAAAAGCATCTCAGCGCCAGCTTCGACAGGAGCAGCGGCTATTTGAAAGCATCATCATCAAGTTCTACCTCGCAAAAAGTTAAGTCGCCTTCTAATCTAGATAGTAAATCCGTCCCAAGAGCGAACAGCAACCAACTTAATGCGCTTCCTAAGCTGCAGTTCAATGGAAACCCCAATGGAACATGTGATAACAAACCTCCGCTCACATATGATAATGATTTTAAAACCAAGACTGAAATTAACCATTTAAAAGAAGAGATTCCTACCCCGGTCGTTATTAAGAGGCCAAGTTTGTTCTCGCCGGATCAAACACCACAACTTCCGCAGATTGTCATCAAATCAGAACCGGAAAAATCTTTGACCAGCTTGACGCTGCTATCGCCAATTAACTCGCCCCCTAGTGTATCTAGTTTGAGGAATAGGAACTACTCGAGCAGCTCTGAACCAGAACTGAGACCCACAATGAAGAAAATTGACCAAGTTGAAGGTTTTGAAAATCTTATGCGAGACAATACGATTGGTATGACCAACGTGTCCAACAACGACACCCTCTTGGCTGCGGAGCAGCATGACAGCTCTTTAGAGGTGGATGTTTCAACTTGCAGTGACGAAGCAGTGTCCAAACCTCTGATTATCAACGGGTTTGAAACTAACCCCACTCTCATCAGTAATCTTTTAAAAGAAGCTTCGACTGCCTCGCATCTCTCGGCAGTTGGACTCTCCACAGTGAAAGCTGAACCAATAGAGCCCATCCAGGCCAATGTCTCTCTGTCATCTGAGTCCAGCAATAAAGAACACCGCCACCACAAGAGTAAAAAGAAGAAGGATAAGCACAAGCGCAAAGACAAGAGCAAGGAGGAGAAGGAAAAGAAGAGGAAACATAAAGACAAGGACCGGGAGAGAAGTAAACACAAGGAGAGGAAAGAGAGCGAACCTCAACCAATCGTTAGCGAGCCAATCAAAATAACTATTCAAAAAGACAAGATTCAACCTAAGAACGAACTGAAAATCAAGATACCCAAGGATAGAATCAAGACTGAAGGCATGGGGGACTCTTTTGGATTGGCACAACCTAGTTCAGGAGGTGAGTTATTTTCATTAACGTAGTGTTAATCTAAACTATTTTCCTGGGTTTCAGTTTCAGTAATTTATTTCGCAATTATTTATTTTGTTTATTTGTTTGCACGCCTTACGATAAACTGCGTGCTAATATTTTATGATTCTGTCATTTTTCATTTAATTAATGTTTGATATAAACGTACATGATTAACGTGATGTTTGAGCTGTGTGTGAATTCGGTTTCAAAAGGGTGAAATGATTTATTATTGCATTGTGTTCTATCAGTACATTTTCGTGGTACAATTTTTCATTATTAGATTCTCGCATAGTCGCAGCGCTAATTCACTTTTTGCTTCCAATACTGAAATATCTTCTGGAAACCAGAAGTTGTTAACGATCGCCGACACTTGATTCACTTGTGGAAACATTTAACATTTCTTCGGTATTCTTTTCTTTATGTTTTTGAACTTTTTTTTGAGATATAGGATCTCAAAGTCATTCAAGAGTTTTTCTCACAGTTCATACAGTTTTTGTTATAATTTCAAAACGTATACAGTGATCTTTTTTCTTTTTTCGAAGGTTTGAACTTTTTTATCATTCACACAGTTTCGAGAAGCCCAACTTACAGTTAGATTCCACGTCTAATTTAGGAAAAAAATGTCTTGCTGTTACAGCTGCGGTAAAGTGCAATTTTTTGTTTAATTTAAAATAGAAATTCAAATGTTTGCAAATAAGCTGTGCAAACATTGTTGAAAGGCAGTCTGATCTCCGAAATGAATATTACCATGCACGTTCTCACATCGTTTAAATATTGTCAGAATTTAAATACGTTATCCTTGAAGCCTTGTATCTCACAAACGAAACGTTTCATTCCAAAGCTTTAAATTCAAAATTGACCTAAGATACCTAATCACTACTGTATACTTATGTATCTCCAGCTGCCACCCTTACTTTCCCCATAAAACTTTAAATATTTCCGGAGCAATAACAGTTAGGCATGGGACATTATACAAGGAACTTGTTCAGCATCACTCATAAACTCTAAATTTGTTAAAATACACTGGATGTTTGGTTTAAAATAGGAAAGTTATCGGTTATGTTAAACAGTACAATTTGAGCTTAGGCTAGACTTAAGATTGAATAGGAAGGCATCGAAATTATAGCTTGTGTTTGTGTTTTTCAGGATTGAAAATCAAAATACCCAAAGACATTATTACGAATTGTCAAGCGGGCACGAGTAGTTTCAACTCATTCGACAAGTCGCATAGTGGGGGGAGCAGTTCGAGTCGCAAGCGGGAGCGGTCGTCCACATCCGAAACTGCTAATACAAAAATGCACAAGTCAGCCCACAAAGAGTCGAAACAAAACGGTCGACATTCTAGTAATAAGGTAAGCTCAATCCAGCCATCTAGTAGCAACAGCTTTCGTAGTAGTGAGTGTGATGGTATTAGTGAGATTAGGGCGAATATCGAAACAGGTCACAGTAATGTAGTGATAGGTCGTAATAATGCCCCGATTGAAAAGAACGTCACTATTGATAGGACACTGGATCGATTGATAGAAAAACGTGGGGAAAAGACGTCGTCACTGGTTGCCAATTTGCCTAGCATGTCGACCAATATGAGGGCGATCTCTCCAATTCCCTTTCCAACAAAGAAAGGCTCCAATGCAACCAGTGGCGACAGCGTTTGGTCGATGTCTGTAAGTCAGGAAGGGTGTCTGAACCCCAGCAAAACAACCGCCCAAGATTCTCCTCCAAGTAATCAAAAAAGCCGTGGCAATCCTCTAGATGCCGAAGTCAAACCGGCTCTAAAACGTCCACCTTATTACCAGGCAACTGCCAATACCCCTTCTGTATATAAATCTTTTAATCATAACAACAGCCAATTTAAAACAGCCAACAGACAATCTGGTTCTATCAATAAACACGTCATACACAACTATGACTACCCACCGCCCCCGCCTTATCACATGAAAGACACCAATCGGCAGCCTTCGGTCGTAAACCCGCGCTTCCAATCGCCAATGCCCCCAAGATTTAACCGAGTGGAGAATTCCTACCCCTCAATGGTTCAAAATCCCGAAATGCACTATGCTCAACTCATGCCTCAAATGGGCTATAGTGGGTACCAGGTGGCGCCACCTGTCATCCCCAATGTCAGTATGCCTCCACCTCCATTCGGCTATTTCCCCAATCATTACTTTGAGGGATACATGTATCAGCAGCAAGCTGCAGCTTTTGGGGTAGGGGTTACTCAGCCCCCTTTGCCGACTGATGCTCCTCCTTTGGCGGAGGTGCCCCCTCCACCTCCTCCAGAGTGAGTTGCTTCAGAATTCGCACTTTGTTGTGGGTAGTCGATCTAGGGGTTCTGTATGTCTTCCTAATGAATTGTCCAGATGTAGAGCCTCTTTTTCTGTTACACGATCGTTGTTATCGTTTGATTTTTACAATTGCTGCCTGTTAGTTTAAGTCAACTAAAAGTACCCTGAAAAAGAACAGACATGGAAAAATCTAAATCACAATTCTAGTATTTGAAAGTATTTTTAACCATCAATTTCATGAGTGGTTTTGGTTTTACTTTAGAGAAATTCCTGGGTTCCAGTCAATTTTATTGTTTACCATTTAAAATGTCACAAAAACGTTTCGGTGTTTTTCTCCACCATTATCAGTTTGTATGTATGTATGTTTGTTTCAACCTTCACATTTGGCAAGCCACTCACTCTAGAGTTTTTGTGACACTTTAAATGGTAAACAATAAAATTGACTGGAACCCAGGAATTTATTTTGAATTAAGTTGAAATACAGTCAGGAAAATATACACAATTTATTAATTATTGTATTGTAAATCTGTGTATTTCAAAATATGCAAAAGAGCACATTCATAAAATTTGGGCATTATTATGACAATAGGAATTCCTTTAGGTGAATTATAGTATACAGTGCCAGACTTGTTAAATTATACTAGTCCTTCAAGTTTACCTTATTAGACACCCAGGGCGTTTGGTTGTATACATATATAATTATTTAATTTGATTTGTATATTTCGACGTTATATATCTTATTTCAAATTTACTGTTGTTACCATTGAGGTTTTTGTTATTACGTTACGACGACATACCTAGTATATTAAAAATGCTCATATCATTCGTTGCTAAAGCGTTCGTAAATCCCATTTTGTCATAGACCTAACAGACAATCGATGTTTGCTAACTAATAATCACCTGCGCTACTAGTCATGGCCTTTATTTAAATAAATTTTATTAAACTACTGACAATCTTAGTTTCTATTCTTCTGATATGTATGATCTCAAATGTTTACAATGTAAACGATGCATTTTCATTTAAACTTCCGACTTTCTTAGAATGGTATAGAACTCGTTTTTGTTATTGTTTATTGAATGTTTGATATTTATGCATGATTGCAACTGGCAACTTAACTAAGTACTAAACTCAGCTGGAGAAATATTTAATATATACTTGCCTATTCGTTTATATGCATTTCACATGCGGATATCAACAAAAACTATATTAATATATTGTATATTTTAGTTGTCGTATACCTAAGGCTTATTGTTAGGCTGCCATTTTTACATATTAAATAAAGTTTATTTTTATAGTTTCTTGTAGATTATTTACCCATGTGTGGCGTCTTAATTAATCTTGGGCTTGGCATGTGTTTCACTTAATGACAAAAATGCCTTTCCATGTAAAACTCACCTCTTTTGCCCTCAGTTGGATTGGAAACTTACTTAATTAATGATAAATTGGTAAATTTAGCGCATCTCAGTGTGCGAAAATTGTTCAGTTGATTGATCTACTAAGACTTTAGGTAGCAAACAAAGATTTAAGTTGAATTCACCGTGAACTATGGCGGATTTTGGATCAAACACAAAACACAACCACTTTTTCCTTGCTTGATTTGTCGGCTTGACTATTGATTAATTTTTGTGTCAAATGCTTCGACTAATCCATTTTTTCTAAACACTTTAGTAGTAGTAGTAGTACAGAATATACATTTTGTAGAGGGAATGTAGTCTATTGCTAGATGTAACTGCCTGATACGAAAAAAACAGCATGGAGAGGTAAACATATGGTATATTTATACAAACATGTTGAATATCTTTTTCTTAAACTGTCACTATTTTAAGTTTCTCATTTCACATATGTTTGCACAGAAGATTCCTGGGCCTGGACTTAATGCTTGGACGCCGCTCAGATTACCTGAATTTGATTACTTACCTGTTACGTCTGACATGAAAATGAATACAAAATATTCTGAAAATTATACTTTAGAAGTTACCTACTTTCCGTAAGCGAACAACAGCAGTCAGAAAGCTCAAAACACCGCAATTATTTTGCCCCAAATATAGTTCGTAGACCATATGCTTACACATGGTTCGAGTCTTTCTATTAACTGTTAATGTCGAGTACCCGGCCATTAAGCGATAAAATTCAAAGTTTTTGCTATTGTATTAAGTTCAGTATGCCTCTTATCTTGTTGAAGTGTGTTGATTTTGGTTTAACGCACAACTATAAAGCATGTTAACGTTCACTCCCTACTAAATATTAATATTACTGATCATAACTAGAACTAACTAAAGTTCGTTCGACGTTTGGCAAGCAATGGTACTTGAACCACCTACCAACATTGTTTAAATTGTAACAATTATAGTTCACAAGCTGGATGAACGTTTCAATCAATTAGTTTTCAACACCTAGTTGTATTTTAATTATATTATTCACTTAAAACTGGTAACAATGGGTAGTTCAAACTAACTTTGCTTTGCATCATAATCTTTAATATGGTCCTTCGTTTAAATAATTTCCTGATCAATGAATAAAGGCAGGTCTTTCAAGGTGTTTGGTGCTTTCAGGTGGCGCAAGGTGATGGCGAGACGTCCTTTCAAAGGTTGGTCGAATCTAAGTATACCAAGGGCTCATCGTAGGTAAAGCAACAAACGCCGATCGGTTAAAATCTGCATAAGAAACCAAGGCAATAGGAAAGAAGATTTTCATATTTCTAGAATTCCTTGAAGATCAGTAAGAAACAGGACTGTAATTGTTTTATTTGCTAGTTTCCAAATTATGTATATATAGAGTGTTACCTGGAACCGCCGCGATCGATATCTGACAAATTGTAATTAGGAGAAATTTGAAAATTGGACAGTGTGCCGAGGTCATTGGGGGCAAACGGTCTAAAATATTTTCAAAATGGCCACACTTCCGGTGATACCGGAAGTAGGTATTAACTTGCTTATTTTAAATGGAACACCTTATATATTATTACATTTTTTAATTCTACTCCAAATTCTAAATATATTTTATGTATAGTGTCCTACATCTAGGTCTAACCGTTTTTGATATTTTTGGAATTTTATGTAAAAAATGACAGTTGCAGCCACTCGAATAATTATTCCTTTTTCCTATAAGAGAATTTGTGATACTTAATTTGAGTCGCATTTATTGTTGAAAATGACTTACTTTAATGGAATTTCGAAAGCATTTTGAAAACTATTAATACAAAGTGTTAAAAAAACAAGTTTCAAAGTACAGTTGAGAAAATCGCCCAAACTCAATTTCTTCAAATGGAAACCCCCGTTTTTGATAATTTTGTCATATTCAGTATTAGAAATAAGTGTAAGTTTGTGTAACAATGTCTATTCCAAAAGTGTTTAGTTTACGAAATATTGCCAATTTAATGCATTCATATGGCTATTTTGCAGCATCTTCTTTTGAATCCTGTCACTCTTAGTTGCCATGACGAAAAGGGTAATTTTTAATGCAATCAAATGCCAAAGGAATGCTGACAGCTGTCAGTTATTTTTTGAAAATAATTAATAATCATGCCAGGGCGCTTCAATTATACAGACGAAGATTATTTAAACTTATTTATTATTTATGAAGAATGTGCATTATTTTTTATGATATGTATAATATATGATTATTATTTATGATAAATGAATAATAATGAATGATACATAAACGGTTCGTTATATAACTTTATCACATTCTCCATAAATAATAAATAAGTTTAAATAATCTTCGTTTGTAACTAACTAATTTCGAAAGGTAACTGACAGCTGTCAGCATTCCTTTGGCATTTTATTGTATTAAAAATGGCCACTTTCGTCATGGTAACTAAGAGTGAGTTTAAAAGAAGATGCTGCAAAATAACCATATGAAAACATTAAATTGGCAATATTTCGAAAACTAAACACTTTCGCAACAGACATCGTTACACAAACTTACACTTATTTTTAATACTGAATATGGCAAAACTATCAAAAATGGGGGTTTTCATTTGGAAAACATTATTTTGGGCGCTTTTCTCAACTGTATTTTGAAACTTATTTTTTAAACACTTTGTATTAATAGTTTTCAAAATGTTTTCGAAATTCCATTAAAGTAAGCCCTTTTCAACAATAAATGCGACTCAAATTAAGTATGACAAATTCCCTTATAGGAAAAATGAATAATTATTCGAGTGGCTGCAACTGTCATTTTTTACATAAAATTTCAAATATATCAAAAACCATTAAACTTGGCTGAAGGATATTGTATATGAAATATATTGAGAATTCGAAGTAGAATTCAAAAATGTAATAATATATAGGGTGTTCCATTTAAAATAAGCAAGTTGATACGTACTTCCGGTATAACCGGAAGTGTGGCCATCTTGAAAATATTTTAGGCGGCGTGCCCCCAATGACCTCGGCACTGACCAATTTTCAAATTTCTTCTAATTACGGTTTGCCAGATATCGATCGCGGCGGTTCCTGGTGGAACATCCTGTATAGATAGATAGTGTTTAGCAAGTCTTTTACCGTTAAAGAGTGGCTCTGGTGCGGCTGGTTTAACGTTGAACTGTGGCTCAGTTTAAGTTGAGTTTAAACAGTCCCAATTTCCTATCGCTCAAGGTTTGTTGCTTCAGAGCCAAAAGCATTTGCACTTGGAAAAATCGGTTATACGCAGGGTGTTGGCAAAAGCGCTCTTCAAACTTAATTTTTTCTTTTCTTCGAGGATTTCTACTACTAAAGAAACTACTAGGACACTATTTTTTTCTCAGAAAGTTAGAGATCCCTCAGCTAAAACTCTGTACCGATATTCAATTTAATCCGCGGATAAATGACCAGAATACGTCAAAAACTTAAAGAAAGAAAAGTTTCATCTGTAACTGGGAAAATATTCCGGTTTCGAATTTTTGCTACATGACTTACTGTTATTATTTTAGTTTATAGAATTACCCTTAAAAATTTCCTAACGCATTTTGTGAACACCCTGTATTCAGAACTTGGACTCTTTCAAAGCTTCGTTGGTGGCCATAAGTGTTAGGAAAAAAGAGTCACTCGCTAACAGTTCTTCTGGTGCTCGTCAACATCATTGTCTCAACGTTCTGAATGTGTTTGCTTCTGAGTTAGCTTTAGGATAAAAAGACGCCTTATTTTATATATACCTAGAAAACTGCGGAATATTGAGAACATGGTGTTGACACTGTAAAATAATAAAACGTTTATATAAATCGAATAAGTTTACCATGTAGATACAGTTTTTTATGCCTTTATGCCCTTCTGTACAGCTACTATTAGACTAAACTGGACAGAACGAGCGCATTGACCCGATATTTATAAAATAGTTTAGTTTAGACGGCACAGAGCGTGCAAATAACAACTAAAGTTTGATTTGGAATAAGTTAGCTTATTTGCTAATAGACGTTTTTAAATCACACTTCAGATGTTATTCCTTGCACAGTCTAGTACCGCTTGTGTGTGATAAAAATTACGAAATCGTGATTGTGTTTTTGATCCAAAGGACTGAAATCATTTTATTGAACTGATGATTTGGATCAGTTTTCTTATGTACATAGTAACAGTGAACAAATTTAGTAATTCATTTAGTAATTAACAAACATTCTTCGGAACCGGAGTTTTAGCCAATAAGTTTACGTTTTACGCTAGTCTAATTAGAATTATAATTTATTATTTTCTTCGAACGCACGTTGCTTTGTATCCAGCATGTTATTATCGTTCATTAGGCGTAGGCCGTAACATGCTCATGATAAGGGCATTTAAACATTCATTTAATAATCACATATTCGAAAACTTACAAACAAGTTGTAAATTGTAAAAAATGTTTAAGGCTTTTGCGACCATCGTTTGAACAATTGGCTGATTTTCGGGTTATTGGCTGTCGTCGATCTAATTCGGAAATGACCGATTTAGAAATGTATCTATGAACTTGACAATCCATTTCGTAAATTGTTTTATTTTTATTTCTTCGGGCATAATTCCATATCTTCGCAGAATGTCTATGGTTTACCTCTGATACAAGGAATATTTAAGATACATTTTCATGAAGTTCGGGAAACATGTCATTACGTATACGCACGCATCTTTTAAATAGCAAATTTGAAAACCAGTATTATGAAATGAGTAATGTGACTGTGTCTAACATGCTGCATTTTTTGATTAACATTTTTATTGTTTTTCCATATCATTCAAAACCTTTCGAACAATAACTGCCTACTAATGCAAACAAAGGTGATTGTCAACGTACTACAATTATGCTTCTTGTTTGAACGATAAGTTGAAAATCTTTATGAACACATTTAACGTACAAATTTAATAATCGGTTGCAGTATAATTACTTGCGCGCCTTTTGCTGTTTAATATTAATAAATTAACTAGTCAAAGGCGAATTTTGAAACGTACCATCACCTTATATTAATTACTAGACCCTCCATGTATCCTAAATGGTCTTTGTGATTACAAGTTGTAAATATTAATAGCCTAAAAAATAATGCAAAATATAAGAATTCCATTCTTGAAATTAATTACTTAACAACAAATCCTGTTAATGAATTAGTTAGACCCATCAGACACTTAGTTTTTATTTTCATTTTCTCTGTAAATATTAACTTACTGTTTTTGTAATATATTTATAAAATTTTCAAGATGGTTTTCTGTTTATTCTGCTGACTTTTTGTTCTATTACTTTAGTTTATGTCCTTAGGCACTTGTGTTGTATTTTCGAGTAGGGACTTTCGGTTTAGTTTTTTTCAGTAGCTTTGAATTTATATTATTTTCCACTTTACACCCATTTTGCCTTTGATTTGCTCTTTCTTTCGTTGTATTTATTGGCGTCTCATAAACTCTGTTCTTGGCAACCATCTCACTGATTACTAGTATATTTTTGTTTTCTCTTTTTTACTGTATGTCGGGATGTTCAAATTCATCAATTCATCAATCATTCAAATGTAACTGAAAGTTATGTTATACTTTTAATTGAATCTTTTATATATATATAAAATCCAACCAACAATAAAATTTATGAGACTTAATTTTAAGAAAAAAGGATAAAATACGGGTTTACGTTCGCTGTAATTATCGGCAACGAGTTGACTTTAATTAAAGTAGTCAAAGTCACTGGCTATTATGTATGTACATATAAACGAACTGAATATACATTTTGATTTGGGTAAATTGTATATAGGTATATCGATACTAGCGCAGATCTATCTTTTGTAAACTTACTAAAACAATGAGTTAACACAATATGACTTACAGAATTTTAAGTTTATATTCAGTTAATATAAAGTTATATGTACTTGTATTAGATTTTTCATTACAACCTTTGTTGCCCCAGTGTCAAAGAAATTTTTTTAAATTAAAGAACACGTGCAAATTTATAAGCCCTTTTAAACCGCGTTCACGGTCAGAGCTTTGTTGCTACATCAAAAGTTATCAGTGCAACGTTGAAGAAATTATGCCAACGTAACCATGTTCATTGTCAATGCTATGAACGTAACCTGGCATTTATGTTGTCGAAAAAGGAGGGCTTTGAAACCACTTCCACCACACATTTTATACAATTTTTAAAAAGCTTTCTGTAAAGTTAAATGAGCAGCTAATAAATGACGTCAATTATAAAGCTGCAGGTCCTTTCAGGAGCCATGGACGAATCACCTCCGTCCTATCTTTTACAGATAGATGATGTAAAAATATTGCTGGATTGTGGCTGGGATGAGAAATTTAACATGGAATACATTAAGGACGTGAAAAGGTTGGAAATCACTCATCTATTCAGGCAGTTAGCTAGGCCGGTTCAGGCCACTTACTCTTTGTCTAGCTGCTTTTAAGGCTTCAGTATTTTACTCAGACGTTTGCACTTTATAGATACGTCCATCAAATAGATGCAGTATTAATCTCCTATCCAGATACAAACCATTTGGGAGCCTTGCCATATTTGGTAGGCAAGTTGGGCCTGAATTGCCCAATTTACACAACAATCCCCATATACAAAATGGGGCAAATGTTCATGTACGATATGTACCAGTCGCAGTACAACATGAAACCGTTCATGCTGTTTAATCTAGACGATGTTGATACCACTTTCGACAAAATCATCCAGCTAAAGTACAACCAAAGCATTGCTCTCAAGGGCAAGGGCTATGGACTGACTGTGACCCCTCTGCCGGCCGGCCACATGATTGGCGGCACTATTTGGAAAATTATGAAGGCTGGCGAAGAGGACATCATCTATGCCAATTCGTTCAACCACAAAAAAGAGAGGCATTTGAATGGCTGTGAGCTCGAGAAATTGCAAAGGCCTTCACTATTTATCACTGATGCCTTTAATGCCAATTACCAACAGGCTAGGAGAAGAACTAGAGATGAAAAGCTTATGAGTAAGATGGATAGATTTTAGTAGTAGTAGTTGCTAGAATAAGTATTTTCGAGGGTTTACATGGAAAATCGTTGCTGAGTGTGACCATCCAACTCTCTGCCTCAATTGTCCAGTCTATGGCTCTCCAAAAGCATTATTATATTCTCATTGGGGTTTTTATTGCAGCCAATATCTTGCAAACACTCAGAAACAATGGAAATGTGCTTATAGCGGTGGACACAGCGGGTCGTGTATTGGAACTAGCGCACATGCTTGACCAACTATGGCGAAATAAGGAATCTGGTCTGTTAACGTATTCCTTGGCCCTTATTAGCAACGTGGCATACAACGTAGTAGAGTTTGCTAAGTCTCAGATCGGTATATTAATGATAAAACGGCTCAAGGCGCTTTAGTGACAAGCAACTCGTTTTTAGAGTGGATGAGCGACAAATTAATGCGAAGCTTTGAAGGGGCGCGCAACAATCCATTCCAGTTCAAACACCTGCATTTATGCCACAGCTTACAGGAATTGAACAAAGTGCCCAGTCCAAAAGTGGTTTTGGCGAGTAGCCCCGACTTGGAAATGGGATATTCCAGGGAATTGTTCTTGCAATGGTGCTCAAGTCCTAATAACAGCGTTATAATAACTAGCAGGTGAGAATCAATAATTTATTCATATAAAGTTCACTCCTATCTAAATTTTCTAGGACTTCTCCAGGCACTCTGGCAAGAGATTTGATCGACAATAATGAACCAGGTAGAAATATTGATGTAATTGTGGAAAGACGTGTTAAGTTGGAAGGGCCTGAACTAGAGGAGTTTGAGAAGAGACAGCGAATGGCCAAAATAGAAAATGTTGGAAAAGAGTGGGTTTATAAGAAAAACATAGCATCCTTGTTACTGTTCTAATACGCTACATTTCAGAGAGGACGACTCTGATTCGGAGAGCGACTTAGAAATGTCGGTGATCTCAAAGGGTCGACATGACATCGTTATCAAGCAGGAAGGAAAAGTTAGTGGCGGGTTTTTTAAAGTTACCAAAAAGCACTGCCCAATGTACCCATTTAAGGAAGAAAAAATTAAGGTACCGTGCATCTGCTGTTTGCACTGGTTTAGTTACCGTCAGTGTTGTTTCAGTGTGATGAATACGGAGAAATCGTCAGGCTGGAGGACTACAAGCTGGCTGATATCAATCCGGAAGTAGAGGATAGCAAGGAACATCTAATCATCAAAGAGGAGGAAGACGACGACATTAGTAAGTTGGCTTATTTGAGTTGGTAAACTGTTTGGGACACTTTTGGAACTTCCAGTTGAAGTTCCCGAAATTCCCTCAAAGTGCATAGCCTTGGAAAGGACCATTCAAGTCAACTGCCAGGTCCAGTACATTGATTTCGAAGGGCGCAGTGATGGGGAGTCTTTGACCAAAATCCTCTCCCAGCTAAGGCCCAGGCGTGTTATCGGTAAGCCACTTTTCCTCTTAAGAATCGTCATACTAAAGCTAAGTTGTAGTGGTGCACGGTTCTCCGGAAAAAACCGAAATAATAGCTAAACATTGCCGAGAGAAAATCGAAGCTCGGGTCTTCACACCACATCGAGGAGAAGTAATAGATGTTACGAGTGAAAATCACATTTACCAGGTTTGCGCGTTCAACGAAATTGATTGAACGAACTACAAGAGATATCTGTTGTCTAGGTGAGACTCACTGATGCTCTAGTATCACAGCTGGACTTCCAAAAGGCTAAAGATGCCGAGGTTGCCTACATTAACGCTCAGATTCTAATCCGGGAGTCCCAGGCGGATGCCAAACGCCTTTCGGCAGATAATGAGTTAATGGAAGGTAGCTATGCAGTGGCAATCGGATCAGGGTAGGGAGCTAACCAAATAGGAATTTTCAGTTGAAGAAGAAGATGCGGGAGAACTGACCTTAGAGCCGCATAGCGAAGAGGAGGATCATGAGCCAGTGTTTGTGAACGAGGTGAAACTGTTGGATTTCAGAAACGTGCTGGCCAAGGCCAACTTGCCGTCTGAATTTTCCGGAGGCGTTTTGTGGTGTTGCAATGGAACGGTTGCGGTCAGAAAGGTAAACGCAATTGGTAAGGGACTCTTGGCAGTTTTACGTAACTCGGTTTCACTGTTGCAGCTCGATACTGGAAAGATTGTCTTGGAGGGCTGCATTTCAGAGGAATATTACAAAGTCAAGGAGCTGCTGTATGAACAGTTTGCTATTCTGTAGGGACAATATCCCCTCTGGTTCGTTGGCTGTACAAATACGTTATAAGTTTTCTTGTTTAGGTATTTTCTAGACAATTCTTTTGTATACAATATAGTGGGACTATTCTTTCAACTAGCACTGTTTGATTTGTAGCAAGTTTGCATACAAAATCGGTCGTTAACCTGACTAAACATCTATAAAAACTTTTTGTTTTGCTAAAGTAGGATTCTTCGAGGTGTACGGGTAATCAGATGTTAGAGCAATTGGTTTTGAGTCAGCTTGGCTCTTGGCCACGAGGAAGGTTTGTTATCTTTCTCTTTGCTCTATTGATTACCCGCCGAAGAGAGCACGAGTCTCGGTAGTCCGGGGCAATGTTACAACTTTTCGCCTATAAGCAGGCGTAACAGGTGGCGAATGCTGGATTAGTCTTCACCTCATCACCTTCGCAATTGATTGGAAGGTGGGGGTATGATATTGAAGTTCATGTAAACTTTTTCCACTGTGCCACTTGCAGTCTAAAAGGCGAAAATGTCGTTCATGTACTTACTTTGTTAATGCGATTTTAGTGCTGTTTTGCTGATAAATCGGAATGTCCATCTGTTAGCGCCTGGTCTTGTTAAACATTCGAAACAGTTCATAATAACACCGTATTGATGGATCGGGCATGCTAGAATTGTAAACTGGCGTGTGACTGGAAAAAAATAACATTTTCGAGTCTAGTTGAACGGCATGCGTGAAAGCACTAACAGGCCATGCGATAGTGATATGGAAAAAAATAAATTCGCTCCGACACGTTCAGATCTGATGTTTCCACCTGTAGGCACGAAATCAATCATTTATTGTACGGCCGAATCTTCACGAGCATTTTCCGGGCTCGGGCGCTTTTACTAAACATTTTCTTCGCCAAGGGGGTGAATACAACAGGCATTAGTGTTCCAACAGTGAAGGAGAGCGCAACTTGTTGATGTGGTGGTGAGTGAATTAATCCGAATTACTCGGCTGTGTTAGCTGAGCTAAGACGAAGTCCGGCTGAAAGAGTTGAGACGGTTTTCTGGGCAAGTTTTCCGTATATGTATATTTTTAAGTCTGGCAATTTAGTCTGTCTTTTTAAATAGCATACAAAAACGAATTGATTTTTTGTGCTTTTTTACAGATTTTTAGATTATATATTATATATATTTTCCAAATAGTAATCTTTTATTAGAAGATTCTGCTGGCAAAATTACTTTCCCTCATTTGGTGACCGTTTATTCCTCTCATTGTTACAATTACCTACGTTAAACATCAATTTAGTTAAAGCTCAGAATGTTAGTTCTTTAGTTCTCAAGCTGCTTCTCAAGGTTTCCTCAATATTTTCCTGTGTATGGTTGCACTTTGTTCTATTTAAGCTGGTTTACTATTTGCCAGCGTGTTATGGAGGTATTTTTATATTATTGTAAACGCCCAGAACTGAATGTTAATTAATTATCTAACCCAATTAAAACCAGCTATTTCCTGCTGAAATTCCCCAATTTCTAGATAATAATTTCCAACAATAAAACTATCTATTCGTGATATTTAATTCGCATCTCCATTTTGCCGGGATCATTGTTTACGTTACACTCTGTATTCATTAGAATCACAAATTGGAAACACTCATCTATAAATGCTTATTTATACATTTGAAAGTGAAATGTGGGTTTTTGGCAACCAGGGAATTGATTGATTTAATGTTATAATTTTTGAAATTTTTGTTTGGATCAACTTGGATTGGGTTTTGATTTCGTATTTATCGATCTTATGTGGTTGCCTGGAAAATTGATTTTACAGGGTGATTCAAAATTGTTTTCAGAGTACAATAAAAAAGACAAAAAAAATTAATTCGTATTAAAAACTGAGGTATTTGCAAAAAACGATATCAGAAGGATGGCAACAATGTGTTTCTGTTCAACAAACTGTTGCTTTATAATTATTCGCAAGTTCAACGACCGATGGTGGCGCTGCGTAACGTCAAATTACTCGTTGTCGAGTGACAGTTGAAACTAGTCAGACTTGTTTATTTATTAGAGTTGATGACATTTATCAAATAAAGGAATACTTACACACTGTTCGATCTGTTTCTATTTCTTTAAAAGCTTGCAAAAGTTGCTTCGAGCAAAACAAATCACAATCAGATGCAAACGCCAATGTCAACAAAACATGTGTCAAATTACTACTTAACTTCTAGTTATAATTTTAGCTACCAGGAGGCGTCTGGCCTTACTGGCGAACTCCAGTAACAATTGAAAAATAGAGAATGTGACGATAATATGTGTTCGTTAAATGTAGAGATCTAGAATTGATGTACTTAGTTACATACAAATAAACATATATTTTTGTCTTTAATTGCAAAGTTATTGATTTTGTCACCTTTTTGTGCACTCTTCTCGAGTAGCTTCTCGTAATCGGTTAATTAACTCCTGGTCAATTTGTACCGGTGTTCAGTAAGCCATTGGTTTAATGTGTCCTTGTGCTCTGTTTATCTTACATACCTATGTAGTTAATATCTTCTAGAAGGTTTCGAAAAAAATGTTTCTTGTTTTCGCCAATTTTGAAATGCCCTGTATTTGGAGGCTTTCAAAGGGCTTATTTTCTATAATATTTTAGTCGTTTTTTTAAGTCTATTATTTTATTTTTTCTGAAGTTTCTAGTGTTTGTCACGCGATTGCAGACTTAAACCGAACTTTGTGGCTTTAATAAAAAAAATATCGACTGGCGCGCACAAGTTTTCCTTTTACAACCATTACGTACTTTGTCTACCTTGAAGTAAAATTTTAGCTCAAGATTTATCAGATTACTTCGACTAATTTGTCTTAAGGTTTCCCTTTGTGTCGCTAGAACTACTGTCGTAATAATCAGGCTTAACGTTCGTTTCAGTTGAATGAGGAAAATGTCTGTTTCTCATTAGCACAAATGGAATTTCAGCAATATGGTTTACTAGAAACTCAAGAATAATTTTCCTCCTAAGTGCTTAATTTGGGCTACAAAATTGTTGAATAACCAGATAAATAGTCCGGTCTTTTTAACGCAATCCAAAAAGAAATTGCCGCAAATCATTGGCGGTTGGTGCAAACGAAATAAATCGATCTTGTTACAGAACCGCATGGGTGAAATAAGTCAAAAGTGGTACATTTTCTTGAACAATCCTCTGGTAGCGCTATCGGGATCAAAGTCACTTTCTATTTGGGTTAGTTTGTGGTGAAAAAGATTGAAACCTTCTTGGCTACATATAAAGCGAGTTCTGTGTGAATCGAATGCGAATGAATAATTGGCTCGTCTAATTTGAGGAATTTGACAAAGGATAGAATAAAGTAACGACCCCGTCATTTACACATGTTTATAACGCTTTAGATACGTAGCTTTCCTTTCGAGTGGGTTTTGCAATTGTACCTGGAACAGGCATTCAGTTTAATACAAAGGACTCACTTTCCTCATTAGTTCTTTTTCCCTGCGTCATTAGCCTGCGGAGCTCTGTTCCAGCTATTCAATAATTGAGTCTTTAGCAGACAAAAAGCACGTGAACAGCGTGTTTGAAGCTCCAAAAGGCCCGCTTAGCATTTGAAGGTGAAATTAGTTGAAAATTCCAATCATATTTTTTTATTAGCTTAATTGGAATTTAACTATGGCTAGAACGAATGCCCTGAAAGATCAATATCGAAGATGATGCATGCATGACCCCCCATTGAATTATCTATCCAACGATGCCAAAACGAATTCTTTGGCTCTAATGGTTCTTGAGAAACTTCGAAAATAGCAGCATCATGTTCAAGTGGATTTTGCAACTCAAAAAAAACCACGCAAATCTAAAACTTCTTGAATTCTAGCATTTTTTGAGAAAACTGTCAACATTTCCCCATCCATGGTTCACTTTCTAAAAAGGTCATTTATTTCTCTCTAGAATGATGTACAAATGAGCGTTCTTGCTCATTTTGTCTCCGAGAAATGAGCAAAAAC